GCAAGGACTCAGAAGTCTTTGGAGATTTCCTTGAGGGCTAATGAGGTCTATGATGCCCAGGTTGGCGAGCTTCAGGAGATCGCCAATTCTTCTCGGGATCGAGTGCGCTCTCTTGAAGACGAGGTCTCGGGGTTGAGAGCTGATCTGGCAGAGGTGGCTGAGAGGCGTCTCTGTGACGAGGTGCTTCTGGCGGGTAAGGAGGAGGAGGCCAGTGCCTTGAAGGCGGACCTTGATCAGTTGGCTGCGATGAAGGCGGCCTTAGAGATGAGGCTTGTTGAGACCGAGCGAGCTGCTTTGCTGGAGCACAAGAAGGGCTTTGTCAAGGCAGCTCATCAGGCGAGGTTACTTGCGCCCGGGGTCGACCTTTCTGCTATGCACGTAGAGAAAGAGGTCCGAGCTGGGCGGCTGGTATAGGAAGACAACCTCCCTGATAGCTCGAGTGAGAATACCACAACTTAGGTCGCCGTTTTTGTAATAACTTAGTTTATTTTCCTTTCTTTTTGAACTCTTACTTTGCATTGGTGAACTTGTTGTGTATATAATTTGTTTATTCGCACCACTGTTGGGTTTTTTGCGTTTTTTTAATATTATCTGCTTGATTCGCTCCGAGGTTCAGTCTTGACCTTTGTTAGTTATAGTGTAACCCGTATTAAGGTTCGAATTTGAGCCTTGTTGTAATTCACATTAAGGTTCGAAATTGACCTTAGCATAAGATAAAATAATTCGTACCAAGGTTCGAATTCGACCTAGGCTTAAGATAAAATAATTCATACCAAGGTTCGAATTCGACCTTAGCTTAAGAAAAAATAATTCGTACCAAGGTTCGAATTCGACCTTGGCTTAAGATAAAATAATTCGTACCAAGGTTCGAATTCGACCTTGGCTTAAGATAGAATAATTCGTTCCAAGGTTCGAATTCGACCTTGACTTAAGATAAAATAATTCGTACCAATGTTCGAATTCGACTTTGGCTTAAGATAAAATAATTTGTACCAAGGTTCGAATTCGACCTTGGCTTATGATAAAATAATTCGTACCAAGGTTTGAATTCGACCTTGGCTTAAGATAAAATGGTTCGCAAAACAATCCAAACTAGACATATATAGTTTATATTTGTTCTTTTCTTTTCCACTAGCATGTTTACTGAAACATGCTTTTTTATTGCCTTGATGTTTATATGAATTCCCATTGATTTGGAGGACTCATTAAGGATATTTCCCACAAATATGAATTTTCTCTAATGTTCTTGTTAGAGACTTATGCAAACATGGAGTCAACGGATTGTATTGTTCCTAAAGTTTGCTTTGATGGTAAACCCATTATTATGGTTCAGGGACAATATGGGGGTCTGAGATCCTTCTACTTTGAATAATTAAATTAGAATTTTAATTTAAAACATAACTAATAATTTAAGAAAAATGAAACATATGTATAAAAAAAATTCTTCATAAATTCATTGTAAAAGGGTTCATAAATCTTTAATTATAACTCTTTTAAATAGAATAAACATAATTAACAATGTGTAAATTAAAATTAGACACAAATTAATTGTTGCACAACTCTCAACATAAAAGCAAATAATTAAAATTTAAATAATTTCAACTAAAATATGAAAACAATAATCCTCCATCCCGATGTCATACTACTCGGAGCAAATCCCCAAAATAAAAGGAAGCTCTAAGCTTCCCCTCCATCAAATACATCATCCAATACTTGATCTATTTATGCAAATGGGGATCATCCCAAATACAGGCAACACAAAACACAAGGAGTGAGAATAGATGTCATCCATGTACAACATATATGAAGTATAAGGACAACTACACATTTATACATCGTAATTAAATTTTAGACATATGTTAATCATACATACTTCATAATTAATCCTCATCCACATATCCAAGACAACACTAGCAATGCATCTGTTCATCATCATTAACTAAAACTGTTAAGTTATACGAAGCAATTCCCAGCAAGGTTTTGAATGAGACAAATATAATACATGTTGTTATTTTAACAAGTGTGTTAGTGTTTCAGAAAAACATAAGTACAGACAAGTTGAAGAATAAAGTATGTCTGTGTGCCACTTCCTACACCAGAACCAAGATAAAATGTAAAAGCTTTAAGCATTAGATGGAAAGATCAAATGAAGCCAAGCGTAGCACAAGAAGAAAATTGATCAAACTTCAAGACTAAGCATGATCCAAGTCAGACAAAAGTACATACATCAGATGAAGCCTAATGGTCTAGCATAAGAAGGAGAGTGATCAAGCTTCAGACGAATGGTCTAACACAAGAAGGAGAATGATCAAGCTTCAGACAATACATCCCAAGTCAGACGAAAAGCCAACACAAGTATCAAACAATGTCAAATAAGGAACAAGACAAAAATGGGTTAAGCACCGGATGAAGTCTATACAAAACATCAGACGATCAAAAGATAGATGAAAACTCAACACATACAAGACAAATCATACTATGAGTCGCAAGTCAACCAAGTATCAGATGATGGAAAATACAAGACGAAGAACCAAAAAAAATGTCTAAAGTCCACTATTCATAACAAAGAATGTCATATATTGTCTACACTCATAAGAAGAGCACACGAAGTCATCAATACTGTGAAAAAAAAAAGAAGAAAAATAGACAAGCGCGAATCCATAGGTCAAGGTAAAGCATACCATGAAAAATCAGACAAAATAAGCCAAATAATAAATAGAATATGAAATATGCACCAGACGATAATTAATCAAATATCAGACGAAGGTGTGTCAAGAACAACCTAGAGCACAATACAAGAACTCAAACGAAGGCTGGTCAAAGATAAAAAAAAGTCAAAAACATATCAGACGAAGGACAACACAGACTGAAAAGAATTCTAGATGGAAACAAAGTCTGTCTATCTTCAATGTTGACCAGACCGTAGAAAGTCAAAGCATTAAGGACAAATGCTCAGACGAAGATCAAGACGTGAGAGGCACATGGACTATCAGACGCAAACGAAGACTACCATACAAGAATTTGAAGAATCAAGTCTCAAAGGACAAATTAGGCATCGTCTACGATCATATAAAAGCTCTCAACGTGATCGCATGATTAAAGGAAGAGAAGAATAAGAAGAAAAGCACGCTAAAAGTAAAAGCATGCATGTGTCATAAAAAGTACATTACTTTTTTAGATAAGAAAAAAACTCTACAGCTACGATGACTAGAAAAGGACAAAAAGTTCATAGGTCTCAGTTAGAGTCAAACACAGCAACTAACAAACGAAGAAGACTTCACGCAATTGAGGTTAGCAGAAATACACAAAAAAGGGGGGTTGAATGTGTGTGTGCATGTTCGAAGGAAGATTTTTCAAAATTGTTTTGCAAAGACTTTTTTGTAAGTATAGAGTTCAATCACGGTTGAAAACGTGTGCAGGCTTGTCTGACTAGAGAGTTTCTTTTAATAAAAAAAACTAATCGTCCACTTCAAGAAACAAGTTGAGTGAATGTTTTTTATGTTTGAATGGTTTTATCGTCTAATAAAAATAATTTTTTCTTAAGTAAAATGAGAATGCATGTTTTCGTCTAACAGTTTGTTGAAAAGAAAGTTGATGAAAGACGAAGTAAGTAGTGTTTGAAAAATAGAAAAAAGTATGCACAAATACATATACTGGATTACTCAATTTGAGCTACATCCAGTCTTCTTCAACTGAAGGGTTCCACTAATCATAGATGATTATAAGTATTCTCAACCACTTTTGGCTCGTCAAGTATTCTTGACCACTTCTAGCCCGCTAGCTTCACTCACTAGCGCTAGTATTTCCAAACCTCTTCTGGTTCTCCAAGTATTCTTGACCACTTCTAGCCCACTAGCTTCACTCACTAGCGCTAGTATTTTCAAACCACTTCTGGTTCACAAGTATTCTTTCAACCAGCGTCTTCAAGCTTTACAACAAGTGAAAGGTGTTGAGTGTGTTTGTAACTCTCGCAGAGAATATAGGATAGTTTCTACACTCACTAAGGTGCGTAACCTTAGTTTTATGGTTATAGGTGTCTGAGTGTTTCATTTACTCTCGTAGAGAGGATAGAATTTTAGCAACACTCACTAAGATAAGTTATCTTAGTTTTTACACAGATATACAAGGAATGCTTTTGAGAAGAAGTATGGCTTCTGTTCTTTCTTTTGCACGCCTTTTCTAATTCTCTATTTTTCTTCTTCTCTGCCTTGGTACTTATAGCCCTTTTGGTGAATTTTCCTGTTGTTTGAATTCAAATTTTCCCATTGGAGCGGAGATTCATGTCGTTGCAGATGGAGGCTT